CGTTCTCTAGACCCCCATTTCTTTTGCTTCAAGTCTCTGCTTCATCTGGAAGGAGGTAGTAGGGTATTAACTGCCATAAAGGAAGAGAGTAATGAGTTAACGTAATAAATTTTGAGAAATTTTAATGAATAGCGGTTCGAATTTAGAAATCGGAGAGCTGTATTCGAATTCCAGTTGAGTTCATTACATTTAATTATCCATTACATTGGATAGGTATGAATTGATTTTTTTCTTTCAACACTTATGGGTAAATAGCAAGACAGCTTGGGTCCTATAAACTTGGGTGGTGACTCACCCAAGTAGAAGGAAAACTCTGAATTCGAACCAGCCTGGAGATGGAGAGGATTTTGTTAAATCAGTTTATCTTGCCGGGGAAACACCACTGGTACTGTGGCTGCCCTACGCGTGCTGGCCCGACGACACTCATATGTTACGTTACACGTGACTGTGAATATAAGATTGAAAGTTCAGGGCTGAAAGGTTAGCTCGTGCCATATTTCAGTAAAACAATATATATTTGTGGATCGGAAAAGTTTGACAATACATTTGCGCGTAGTTTGCCATGTCTTCAATGGCCAACTACCCTATTTCCACTTACTGGATACGAAACGACAAGAAATGGCTAGTTTCTTCATCACATATCTCTTCTCTAGTTCTTGTAACGGCATTCACCGAGGGTGGCTTGAGCCGGCTCCAATAGCCGGTTTCATGGGAATTTGGAATTCACAAGCGATCCCCAACCCGCATGTATAGCACATGAGATTTGATTATAGTGGTGAAGGTTTCGTGCAGGACACACTTTTTGAAGGGCCGAATACAGAGATCTGGTGCACTACGTGCCACAAGGTCCTCAAACGACCCTGCGCAAGTTTTAAATTCAGAGTTCTCCTAGACCAGTTGCCATCCAAGGCTATAGAACCCAGCCTGTCCTGCTATTTACCCATAGCTGGGGGGAGAAGAAGAAGATTTATACCCTTCCCAAGAGTATTAGCATGTAAGTGAATGTAATGGATACGACTGGAATTCGAACTCGGCTCTCAGATTTCTCAATCCAAGCCGCTATCCATTACTCCACCGTACCTCCTATACGCATCAGTATAAGTAAATTATCTTATTGAAAAATCGACATTCGTTGATAGAAAAACAATTTTAAAGAGTTGTAATTTAGGAAATTTAATAACGCTACATTATATGGGGCTTTTCTGAATTATAGCAGAGGTGGGGGCATTGATCGTATAAAAAATGATAGCAAAATTATATATTTTCTTATTTTAAGAATTCCTTTAACCCCTAATCTTTTAGATTGATAACATGTTGGCATCACATTTTAAAACTTGGCAGATTATTTCTCCTTCCACGATCATCTACATCCGAAAGCGTTGGTCAATCAGTTCAAATCTGAACATGTTCACGCTAAGAGGTCTCAGAAGTGTGTGATTTAAAAATGTTAATACTGTCCATATTATGGCATCTGGATGAAAAAAAGCAGTCCTACACCATCGGCTACAAGCTGCAAGTAATTGAATATGCCAAACAGTACAGCAACGGAGCTGCAAAACGCATTTTGGATCACCTCCAACTGAGAAAAGAATCAGCTACATCTTGATATGGTAAGGTCGGGGAAAACGCTGTTGGTCAGAAGGTTCCAAGAATTCCTATAATTTACTGGTTTGGCTTACCGCCATATTATGTCCAAATACCGATTCGCGTATCAATCACCAAAGTTAAGCAATCTCAAGCCTGTTCTGTACGTATATGAGTGACCGTTTGGTAAAATCATTTGTTGGAGGCTTGGATGTGTGGGTAGTTTTTTTGATGACTGGGCGGAATTGAACTCAAAAAGCCGAGACACAATTCTAGTGGGGTTCACTATAGTCATTTATATTTAAATACTCTTAGGAAAGGTATGAATCTGCATCTTCTTCTCCAGTTATAGGGTAATTAGTGGGACTTGTATATAATCTCCATAAACTTCTTAGAACCTTCTTAGAACCTTCTTACAACCTGAGAAAAATTTTCTGTTTCTAAATAACTCGCAGAAGGTAGATACGAAGCTAAAAAATCAATCAATCGATTTAGTTTTAAAACTGGTCTTAATGTCACGAAACATCTGTTGTTATCATGTACCACATTATGTTCAGTAACCTGATGTAAAGTGTTTCAGGAGTGCCATTTTCGGTTAATTTTACTTTGAAATCGATTCGAAAAAACGATATCTATTTTTCGAAAAGAAAATAGCGTGGTTTCTTTGGTGATATTTAATCCCATCTTTTGAAGTTGTTGACGAGGGTCGGCTTCAATCTCAGTTCTTCTGATTTTTTTAATATTTTGATTCCTGCTTTTATTTACGGCAGGCTTCCGATTTGGCCAACTCATGGTATGTCACATTTGACCTACGTTCCTTACCAAGTTTCATTATCAGTACAATATGACACAGGACTAAATATCTAGTAAGTCGTTAACAGAGGATGGAAAATGCGACAACAAAACCAGAATAATCATTGAAATAACAAATGGTTCTTTCTATAAGCTAAGCAAAGTATTATAAAAAAAAAAGAAAAACTATATTAGAAACAAAAACTGCTGACCTGTCATCGAATATCAATCTTTTTGTATGGGAGTGATTGCTGGAAAGATGAAGAGAGAACAGAAGACAAGAGAAAAGGGTTGGAAATTTAAACAAAAGAAATGTTTTTCTACAGAAGGATACAGAGAATACTATGGACAGAGTTTGAAAGCAACGAAGACGTCTTCAGGAAAACGACGGAAAAACGACCCATACTCAGAACCAGAAGGAGATAGCTAACATATCTTGAACATATAGTGAGGACAGAGTGCTTGGAGAATTTAATGCTCACAAGATATATCGAACGATGTAGAGGCAACCGAAGGCACAGGACCACGTACCTGACGAAATGGTGGAAATGGATAGCGAGAAGTGGGTCAGAAGTTTGGCAAAGGGACAAACGCAGCGAAGGGCTACAAGGGTAGGAGAGCCATCAATGCCCACGTTCTGAATGGATACGATACCTAGTGTTATAGGGTCCTCCCCTTTTTCATATAAGTGGACTCTACCAGTGTTACTTAGACTGCTGCCGTTAAATACTCAGAGTTAGACAGTCAGTCTGAATATAGAGATTGAGAGAGTAAGAAGACTGAGATTGAGATTGAGTTGGACGTAGAGTAATAGTGTGAGATAACCGCTTGTAGAAGTCAGTTACAAGCACGTAGACTCTAAGGAAGTCCTACTTCGAGACTGTATATATCTATATGTTATTGCTGCTAACCGCGTTCCTGGATTTACTAAAAGTATTACCCTTTGTATTATTGTGTAAATAAATTTAATTTCTTATCTTTAATTTATGCGTTTGTCATTCATTGGAGACCGAATTTCATCTCGGAATCCACAACACATAAAGAAAAAGAACACAGTTTCTTAAAACAATTGTTTTTTGTTTTAATTTTCTTTCTGTTTAGAGTCAGAATTATTTCACAATTAGTGTACCCGCGACGTCTAAAGTGACTGCAATAGTTAGAAAGTATTAATTGTGAGATGCAATGAAAAAAAAATCTTGAAACAATGTATTGATATTCAATAAAGCAGAGATAAATAATGACATAACTAAAATAGAATTCAATAAACCGTTTAATTAATCCGTTCCTTTTAATACATTTTGTCGTTTTCTTTTTTTAGACAGGTATCTACGATTTCTTGATACTCCTGCTATTATATAAATCGCTTTTCTCTCAATATCTTTTCCAGCTAAACATTTTGGGCTTAATATAACAATGAAATAGAAATATCTCTCGGAAGAAAAAGACTAGCAACAGAACGGCAAAAACGGTGACAACGAAACCTTTCTGAAGACCAACTTGAAGGAAGACGATCAGGTTAAGAGACAAAGGTGTCTGAGTGCTTCACAGGAAAAGCTTCAACAAGGATGACTGCAATCTCAGAAATGCAGGAAGAAATGAGCTGGTTAATTAAACGCTTCATTTTGATCGGAAATTAATTTTGCCTAAATTTTTATCTGCATTTAGATAAAGCTATTTTATTTGTATATTAAATCGACTAAGGGAAGTAAGCAATCCGAAATATACTTAAAAATTGATTTACCTTCCTTCCCACTAGAGATAGATCAGGATATATATATATATATATATATATATATATATATATATATATATATATATATATATATATATAGGTTGGTGCAAAAATAATGACGTAATAATGTCGTTTTGACGTATTTTTAACGTGAAAAACGACATTATTACGTCATTATTTACACCAACCTATATATATATATATATATATATATATATATATATATGCGCGTTGACAATTATTATATGGTTTGATAATGTCTTTTATTCCCTGACGTCTGTTTGTTTCTCAGAAGTGCATGATCAGGTATCGTGATATTCTTTTTTTAATTTCTAATGTACCAGACGTAATATTATTTTTTATCATTTATCAACTGACGACTGTCACAGGGACTAACTTAGAATGAGAGAGCAAGCATCCTCGTGAAATCTAAGTATGGTAACAGTTTATTTGAAAAATACCGGGTTGGTCAAAAACTTAACCAAAATTATTCTACTATTTTCCTTAGTTTTCATTGTACCATTCCCATATATAACTTTGCTGCTTTTGGAAGAATCCATCAGGGTTTACGGAGCCCTGTAGGCGAGGAATTATTTCCCATCGTACAATAGCTTGTGCACAGATACAACGTAGTCAGCTTATTGTCACAATGTCCATTCTGGTACGATATTTTCTTTAGTTCTAACAGGTCAGACATTTACACTCCCGTTAAGTCATATACATGGGGGCAGCAATCTTCATTCGCTCTCTATTCTATTGCTAAGAAGGAAGTTCAATGCCGACTGTTTTTTATCAAGCGCCGCTGCCTTGTGGAACAGGCTCCAGAGAGGATGCTTCAACGATTTCTACAAAATTAACCACTTCATCAAGAGTTGCCTATCCTCATAATCTACGTTGAAATAATGGTTCCCGTACGATCACTGAAGTTAAGCAAAACCGAGCGCTGTCAGTACCTAAATGGGTGACCACTTGGGAATACCAGGTGCCACAGGCTTCGATGTGCAGGTGTTGTAATTGGTAATGGCTCAGTATTATTAATCGGATGACCGAGTTCCAATTACTGTTGGGTTCGTTATATACACTTACAGGAAAAAAACCCTTGGGAAACGTAGGAACCTACCTCTTCTCTTCGAGCGATGGATTAATTAGTAAGACGTTTATCACAAAACCATGATTATCTACAAAAAATAAAACTTCTTAAAATCTAAAAATATTTTCTGGCTTGAAATAACCTGTAAAGGGTTGATAAACTGTAGAAAACAAATCAATCAAGCGAATTATCCTCTTAACCTACAATTCTTACATCCATAAAACAATACCATTAAGAAAAGCTCTATCTATAGTGTAACTTGTGTGGATTGGTTGACAATTATGTTTTTCCTTCACATTTTGATCTGTTTTCATATCTGATTTTTACAATTATTTTTACGAGGCATTGGTGGTCATAAATTTCAATGGTTTGTTGAATTTCTAGTATAATTTCGAGATAAAATTATAATCAAGTCTAGACTGTAATTTCGCTTTGCTTAAAACTCATGAAACATTTGACGTTTGATAACAAAAAGAATTCTCCTGCGTTGTCAAAATATTAGTTACATCATCACAAGTTTGGGCTTCTAAAGAGTGTTCCAATAACCTGGTCTGATTTTAAATGTGAATTAATTTTAAACGTCCAATTACCTTTTTCTCTTTTCCTTTCAGATTTAATAACTTAAGTCTTTAGCAATTTCATACATGGAAAGATTAACAATCAAACAATGTGTGAAAGAAATAAGAGAAAAACTGGAAAACATTGTTCGTAAATTCAAACAAACTGGTGAAAACATCATTGCGTGCTCGTTTACGCCGTTCAGCTGAAAACATTCCTGCATGGATGAGAATGTGGCCGAAAATCCAGACACCTCTATTCGTCATCGCGAACAGGAATCGAACTTCTCCCCAACAATGTTACATCGTTACTAATTGAACTCTTGGCTAACCGTTTATGTTAACCAAAATTATCGCGAAGTGCGCGAAATGCATTTCTGTTTGAACGTCCATTTTCTTAATAGGCTTCGAGAAACAGGGAAGATCACCTTGTATATGTTGTAAAATGATCCTAGAATAATATATATATATATATATATATATATATATATATATATATATATATATATATATATATAAAGAAATATAGTCTTAAGGTGTGCTATATTTATGGAATAAAGTGCCCAATATCAGAGATAGAGCGTGTGTAAATATAAAAGTGTACATAGAAGTCAACAGAAACAAAAAAAATAAAAAATAAGCAATATAATTTGACCCAAATAAATAAACAAACGACTTCCGGTAAAATAACCGCCATAATAGAATACCCCCAATGCACCACAAACCCGCATATATATAAATAGCCGAGGAAAATAACAGCATATGTGGCCTGACGATTGCATATAGCATGAAACAGACTGTCGCCTCTAAGGGTTGACTTCTATGTTCACTTTTATATATATATATATATATATATATATATATATATATATATGAACTTTAATTAAATCATTCATGAGCTTCCGATACCTATCTATGATTAATTAATGATTGATTTCAACACGATTCTTCTGTTAAACTTGGAGAGTAATTATACATTGTTATGCGCATTGGAGAGGCCAATAGTTTCATAAACCCTCAGAGAATTCAAGAAAGAAATCTTTAATCATTTCTAAGATATAAGGGATGCAGTGCTTAATGTAACAATTGGACAATTTGCTGTTACACAATTTCAACAATTTTACTGTTACACCATGTATATCAGCAAATCAATCAATCCTGTTTATTGTAGAAATCTTTGGACCTCAATTTTTGTGGAAGTGGGTGAATTCCGTTATTAAATGGTTATTTTTCGTGGATACTCATATCTTAGAAGAAGTTCCATTTTATTTTAAACAGTATACACGAAATGAATACTGTTTAAAATAAATATAAGCGTACACTAAAAAAAGCTTTTAAAGTGATAAAAATATGTCGAATTAAAAAATAAAAACTTTACAAATTGCAATAAGCAAGTAGTTTTACCCTGAATCTACAAGGTGCCCCACAAAAAAAAAAGAAATTTTAGATTTACTATATGATGAAAAATATTAACTAACATTAAGAAAATATAACTATATATTTTACAATATGAATAGACTAAAAAATAGGTAATATATAAATTTGGTAATCCTAGTGAAAGAATTACATTTAAAAAAAAAATCATTTTTAATTGCAAAAAATATTATTTGTAACGACTTTGTCATCCCAGATAGTTACATACGGATCAGTATCAAATGTCTAGGAGTCCATTGTCGATATTCGATCTTACTTTGAATTCAAAACCAGTAACCTGTAACGAAAGGCAAAGAGGCTACTTATTTTTGTCGTCAGGCGCTTGTGAAAATCGATTTTTTACACTCTTACTTCTGGTCTAAGAACAAGCAGAAATCGATATTCAAAGTAGAAAACACTTGAACACATTTGATTTATTGCTTGCAGCATCTTTGTAAAACCAATCCTCGAGTGAAAGCTGCAAATCGAACTAGTTGTTGACCAATTTACAAAAGAATGTGAAGGATTTACAAGCTTTTATTTCCACTGCTCGGAAACGCAAAACTGGGACGATTACTTTTGCTCAGGGAAACGATAAACTAACTGGAAGCTAATAAAATATTTAAAAAGTCTGAGTTTAATTTTCTTTTTCTTTTTTTCTCGCATTTATAGACATTTTTATAGCTTCCATAATTTTGTCAGCTGGAGATTTTATGGTAGAAAACTGGGAACAGCGTAAAAGGTTAACGGGGGAGGTGAGAATGTCGTAAAACAGTTTAGGAAAAAAAGGTGTATCCAGGGTGAGTCGATTAGCTTGAAGAAGAGAATGGTGTGAAGGTTGTTGGTTGACCCAAAATAGAAAAAGATAGACAGAATCTATGCAGATCCTATCCTATTGAAACCTGACAAATCTTAACGAAAAGAGAGTTTCTCGTTGACAGATACAAAATTGAAGATTTGGTATGGTCTGAAATATTCTGAACAAAATGCCAATAAAACTATACCACTTCAAGTTCAATTTGAGACTAATCAAAATTTCATAATGAAATAGCCAAGCTAAAAATGGAATAGTCAACTTCAAAACAGGACAGCAAATTCCAAATGATATAGTCAAATTCAAAATGGGATTTTTCAAATTCATAATGGAATGGTCAAATTTAGACTGAGACATCGCAAATTCAAAATAGAATAGTCAAATTCAGAATGAGACAGAGAAAATTCAAAATGAAATAGTCAAATTCAAAATGGAATAAGCACATTCGATTTGGGACTTAGCAAATTAAAAATGGATTAGGCAAATTCAATTTGGGACTGAGCAATTATTTTGCTAAAGAAGACTTTAAAATTAAATACATTCATGATAAAATAATAATGTTCAGCTAAACGTCTTTGCCTTACAGGTCGTTGCTAGAATGTTTGGTCCATGGTATTCTCAACATCTTTCTGTAGAACCACATGTCTCTTGTTTGAAGTAACTTCTTCATCTGTGAGGAGACTGTCCAGAATTCACCGCCATAGACAAGAACTGATATTACAGAACAATTCAGTACTCTGATCTTGGTTTTTAATGATACTTTTTTTGTTTCTTAATCCTTTGCTTGGCTTTGTGAACGCATCTTAGGTTGAATAAGTCCGGTGAGACGAGACGTCCTTGTCTTACCCGCCTTCCTATTCTTGTATATTTACTGAAATCATTTGTATTTCATAGCTTGAATTACCATAAATTGCGGCGTACAAGTCGATCTGGCGTACAAATCGATCTGGCATACAAGACGACATTTTAGTTCTTGGAATGTAACTTTGGCTAACCTAATTCGGATTTCAGTGCCACACTTTCCGTCCTCTGTTAAAACACTTCCCACCCCAAATGTGCTCAAGGTAAAGGGTTACTGATTTCTTTTTTCATGGACGTAGATTATGAGTATATGTAGGATAGATAAAGGTTGACGCTAGATTTGTAGAAGCTAAAGTGCATCAGTGAAATCCGTAGGAGCATTGGGATAACCAAAGGTGCAGAGTATTAGAAAGCAGAAAAAAAATATTTGTTAGAAACAAATAAAAGATTACTGAAGATTGACGTGATATCAGTTTTCGTACATTGCAGTGAACACTGGCCAAACCCAAAGATGAAGTAGTGACTTAAGGGAATAGTAATGTAATTCTACATAAGGATGCTGAGGATTCCATGGATCGAACATGTGAGAAACGTCGAAGTTTTAGAGAAAATGAAAACAAAAATAAAGCATATTTAACGTCAGGAAGAGAGGGTTGAAATTTCTAGGACACAATGATGGGAGAAATCTTGAGACTGACAGGACAGAAGACAAGGCGGGCCTAGCAAGGCATTGCATAACCTAACTAACAATCTTGAGTAAATGGATGGCACACCAGGGTTTTGAATTTATAACAAAAAGACAAAATATATTAAGAGCTACAGAAAACAGAAAATTATGGGGAATATTAAGAAACAAAAAAACTTCGTTAGAAACAAAGAAAAGATTATTGAAAGTTTACGTGATGTCAATCCTCGTACATCGCATTGAATGCAAGAAAAACTCAAAGATGGAGAAGTGTCTTGGAGCAATAGAAATGAAGTTCGACATAAGGATGATTCAAGTCTCTTCTTCATCTGTAAGGAGCTTATTTATTATTCACTGCTATAGATGAGATAATTATTCTTTGTTTGAAAAGGAAATTATCCTATTTCTTAAAACATTCCTTAGCTTCTGGAAGGCATCTTTCGCTAATGTAGTGCGTATCCGGTACATACTCTTGAGCGCATTATCCTTGGGAAACGTATGGATAGGTCTATCCACATCAACTATGGGTTAATCAGTACGGTTTTTATCTAGCAAAATTATTGTTATTCTAAGAAATATAGACCAAATTTCATTCGAACGACATTAATATTCCCACAATTCAAACAATTGT